ATATCAGAACAGTAGTATATTTCAGAAATATATAGGTAATGACTTTTAAAGCTTTATTAAGGCATCCTCTAAAATGTAGCTAAGTAACTGGACATTTACATTAACTGGACATTTACATATCACTGTTAAGATCATCACAGTAAGATAAATTATAAAGATATAAGATAAATTATATATATGCACATATAATTATATGCATATACGTATGCACATAAATATATATGTGCATCTCATTTTCTTTCAGAAGATTTAGAACTTCTCATTCTATTTTTTCCAAATTGAGAAATGAACAGATATTTGATATTAAGTGGTTCAATAGGACTACAACATAAAAGCTGTACTTTTATATACATTGTTTCACTTTAAAAATCTATAATTTTTAATAACAAACTTCATGAGTTCCCTATCCCCTTTGGTACTAGGGACTGAACCCAGAGGTACTCTAATACTAAGCTACAACCCCCAACCTTTTTCTTTTTGATTTTGAGACAGTCTCTCATTAGGTTGCCCAGGCTGGTCTCCAAGTTGAGATTGAGCCTCCAGGGTTGCTGATAGTGTAGGCATGCATCACCATGTCTGGCTACCTCAAGAGTTTTTTGAGAGGGGGGGGGGGGAGAGAGAGAGAATTTTTATTTATTTTTTTTCAGTTTTCGGCAGACACAACATTTTTGTTTGTATGTGGTGCTGAGGATCGAACCTGGGCTGCACACATACCAGGCAAGCACACTACCACTTGAGCCACATCCCCAGCCCTCAAGAGTTTTAAAGAAAATTCCTTCTTCCTTAAAATTTGGAACCATAATCTTTTTTATGGTCAGATAAATCTTGCTAAAATTCTTTCATTTTGCTAGTGCCACCTGCATATTATTCAGTAGCTTTCCACTTCCTACTTAATGAAATTCAACTCTTTATTCTGACATTCAAAACATACCAGTTTGGCTTCCAGCTTTATTTCTAAAGCAGGCCACATTCTTCTTTGACAAAGGCTATCTCCACCTTGAGCTTGTGCTGTGTTCCTCACTTCAGATATTCTTCCTTTTTTCTCTTATTCAAATTCCATCTTTTTAGAAAAATTTTTTATAATGATTCTTTTTGTGTGTGTGTGTTGCTGGGGATTGGGCTCAGGGACTTGTACATGTGAGGCAAGCATTCTACTAACTGAGCTATATCCCTAGCTCCATAATCTTTTTAAATTTTTTTTATTTTTAGTTGTAGATGGATAGCATGCCTTTGTTTACTTTGATGTGATGCTAAGGATGGAACCCAGTGCCTTACTGGTGCTAGGCAAGAGCTAACGTTAAGCTCAGCCCCAGCCCCAAATCCCATGATCTTTAAAAGTTGATTCAACTCCATCTCCCTGGTGCACCTTCCCTGATGCTTCTGGTACCTTCCCTGACCTTGTCTTCATCTCTGTTTCTGGCTCTGAGACCCAACTTCTTTTATTTTTTGGTGCTGCTGCTGGGGATTGATTGAACCCAGGGCCTTTTGCATGCAAAGCAAGCATTCTATTAACTGAGCTACATCCCCAGCCCCCTATATTATCTCTATATTAGCTCTTCAACCAAAGGGGAAATTCCTTGATTGGTACTTTTGGTGCCTAAAATTGAGTATAAAATTATAAGCATATGTATCACTTTTTTACAGTTTTTATCTACAGAAACAGCAATAACTAAAGGACAAGTTTACTATGCTTTAGTGTCTCTCATTTTCTTACAAAGCTAACTGATCTTGCTATCAACCCCTTTAATGCATGCTCTTTACTGTAACTGAAATATATGAAGTCTGGAATTTTCTTCAAACAAGGACTTATTCCCTTTAATCTCATTAGATCTTGGGTAAGTTTCTCTTTTGTGATGAATTTTTACTTTTTTACAGTTAGACCCCCTCCCAGGTTTTAATGGAATACTTTTGAATTTTCAATTTTCTTAAAATATAATATTTTTAAAAAATCAGCAAAGTCTTTCTTCATTGTGTATGAATTTTCCTTTGTCTCTCCTTTGCCCAGATATAGGAGAAGGGATTGAGAAGTGGAAAGATATATGCTTTTAAAAGGCCACACTGAAGAGGGTGTGGTGGCACACCCCTGTAATTCCAGCTACTTGCAGCTACTTGGGAGGCTGAGGTAGGATCCCAAGTTCGAGGACAATTTCAGTTTTAGCAACTTAGTGAGACCCTGTCTCAAAAAAAAAAAAAAAAAAAAAGGAATAAAAATGGTTGGGATGCAGCTCAGTGATAAAGCGCCCTGTGTTTTACCTCACCCCCCACTCGTAACATGCAATCACCCTAGGCTAGATGGAGAAAAGCAAAAATTATAGTGCTATCTTCCTCTACTGCAGAGACAGTAGTTTAGCTCTGCTTAAGATTACTATTGTGTTTGAATCCCAGGTTTACAAACCCAAGGCAAGTGTAATGATGATGATGATAATAACTATTATTATTATTATTATTCATGGTTTTCTTCTACCATATTACAGTAGCAACCATTTATTAAGTACTTACTCTATATCAGACAAATGTTGGTTGCTTTATGTTACCTAATTATTACTAAAATCAAATTTGTGACATGTTTCTCATTTTACAGAGACAACTGAGTAACTTGAACAACTAATAAGTGGCAAACACAAAAATTTGGATACAGAACTCATTCTAAAGCCTATCCTTTAAACATTGCACTATACCTTGTAATATCAGTGTCTTTTGGGGGCAGGAATTCTAATGGAGAATTTGGGGGCTTGCATTCATAACTTTGGCAGCTATAGGGGAGAATAATAATAATAAAAAAATGTTCCAATGTACTTGGAGAGGCTCACCAGCACCACTCCCCTATATATAGTTGCTCCAGACCTAGTTATTGGTAGTTCATCACTCACAATTTACATTTTAGTGTGCCTACATTTTTATGATGGAATATCTTGATCACATTTGTATTGTTAGATGGGGAGGAAAGCTAAGAAGTTTTTACCTTTGTCAAGGACTGGGACAAAAGCCACACCATGAGATAAATCAACACAAGAAACACACCAATGTGCATACACACACACACACACACGTGTGTATTATAAAAATTTAAATGTTATATAGCTCATAACTAGAAATTATACCCTGTGTTTTTTTATCACAAACCCCAGAAACTTATGTAAGTTTTACTGCTGGGCCAATATGTGAATTCAAGCCTCAGCTGTTAGTTTACTTATTGAAAGAAGAGTCAATAGAAGGAAATTCCAGTGTGACAAGAATTTTGACAACCCCTGTGTTATCTCTACCAGGATCTAGTTACATTGTGCTCTTCCAGGAAGGATGTAGCTGTGTATGCAGGTTTAATAGGGCAGCTACTCTTTTCTAGGCACATTACATGTGGGTAGTTCAATAGTTGTTTTGTGTATATTAGGACCATGGGATGAAAGAGGCAGCTATTCCTCATTTTTCTAAACTTGAGAGTTTAATATACTATGCTCTTTACTTAGTCGTTAATTCTTAACAGTCTAGGGGTTGTATGTAGATTTAACAAGTGTTTTACATTTAGTTGGGCAGAAGTTTATTAATTAGTATTTATCACCAACCAGATACAATTACATAAATATGTATTATATAAATTATATTAAGGACAATTGTGGTTTATGAGTTAATGACTTAGTTTTCACTCTTGTATCATTTTAATATTAAGGTGTTTGAAATGTTTTCATAAGCCAGTTTTTAGTAACACTAATTTAGGGGAGCCTGGGGTATGGTTTTCATTGGCACTGACAGTTGTGCTGCTGTAGAAAGAATCTGTACCTGGAATCTGATTTTAGCCTCCACTCTGCCTCTCGTTTTTTCAAACCATGGAGAATTCACTTCACCTGCTTCTTCATTTATAGGCTAAGGATCATTAATTCCCATTTCAGTGTTTTTATACAGACTAGAAGACAAATTATAGGAATTGTTCTATAAAGTGTTACATTGCTGATGCACAGGGGAAATGGCAAGGGACTTTACGCATAATCAAGTACTATGTATGATAAATAGTGAATACTTTTTTTTTTTTTTAAATAACCTACTACTTCCCTTCAAAGCCCAGACTTTCCCCAACTTGGACTGAATGCAATCCTAGAGCTTCATCTGTGGTTCTGTACTTGCCTCACTTCCCTCAAAATTTTAAAGCTTTGGAGGTGAACCATTTCATCATCATCTTTGTACCCTTTTCAGGCTGGTCACCAGCAAGTGCTTATACATCTGGTGCTAAACAAAATCCCCACACAGGGGGCAGACACAAGAAGAGTCAGATTAGGAATTGAACAACTGTTAACACCGGGTAATTTAAAAAACAATTTTAAAGTTCTTCCCTTCAAAGAAAAAAGCAGTAGTGATATATACATATTTTTTTTCCTGCAAGAGAATTTAACTGGGTCGCCTAAAAATTTCAGTGGAACTGGTGTCTTGCGTAAAAATTGCAAGGAAATAGGTGCAACGACGGAGAGGAGGGACGACAGTTAACCGTCTTTTGGTGGTGTTTAGGCCGCAGACCCCGCTACAGCAGGTGGGCAGCTCTGCGCAGCGCCTACGTGCCCGTCCCACCCTACCCTCGGATGGGGCGCGGGGCAGACAAGTGATCTTCGTTCTCCTAGTCGCGGTGGCCCCACTTCTGGTCCTGAGAGATGCAGATGAAGTGGTGTGAAGGGTTGGGCTTTTTTTTTTGTTCCTAAAAATGCAACGAACAAAAAAAAAAGTACAACAATCCAAACCCAACCATCTCATTGCTCGTCGGCTTAACTGGTAGACTTCCTTCTCGGGGGGTTTCGTGGGGGAAAGCACGGCGTTCGGTCGCCAGCGTTCCCACTTGGGCGCGCGCAGCTCCTGGAAGGGAGAAGGGTGAGCAGCGGGGACCCGCCCCCTTTTAGGAGGGCGGCGGCCGTTAGAGACACCGGAAGGACTCCCGCCTCACCTCCCCCCGGAAAGGCCCGACCCGGGAGGCGGGACAAAGGTACACGCCGGGGGTGGAGTCCGAGGTGCCAACGGAGGAGGGCGGGGCCTGTGCAGCGCCTCGAGTCCATTTTGCGGCGGTGCGAGGCTCTTACCGCGTGATCTTCCGAGCTGGAAGACCCGAGGCCTTGCAGCTGCAGGCTTTGCCGGAGGTCAGAGATAAGTACCTACCTCCCTGCTCCTCTTCGGGGAGGAAGGGGGCGACCCTCGAGCCTGCAGCGGGGGTGGGGACTTGCCCAGGCTAACTGGGGCCTGCGTGAGTGGGGGCAATTTGAGCTTCAGTTGGGGTAGCTCAGCGGAAACCAGCTAGGCAGCGATATCGTGGGGAGGAGCCGCGTGAGGGTGGGCGATTGCCGGCTAGCCCAGTGTTTATGATCCAGAAAATCTGTAGGGGCCCGAACACTCCCCCCAGCGCCTTCACACCACCTAAAAAAGAACAGGCGAGTGTGAACCAGAGGTTAGAGCACGCCATTAGACCAGGCATTGACTCGGGATCCGCATGGCGCCGAGGGAGGGCGCCCTGACCGCGGTGCTTCCTAGTACAAAGAGCTCCTAGCTCCCGAGCTTTGTGCGGGCGATTGAAAATTGAGGGTTAAGAATGGAGATCCTTTACAAATAAATGCTTTAATACCCTCCACTCTCTCCTTCTTCCGCAGCAGCCTCTAGTTTTTTATTGTTAGTTGAAACGTGGAAAAACAAAACCCTGATTGCTTTTCCCTGGGTAATAGTAACTCTACGGTAAACACCTGCTTGCAGGGACAGAGGTAAATAACAATACTTTTCCCTATGTTATGCTCACATTTTAAGAAAAAGCACTCAAATTTATTAGTCCCAAAACCTTTAGAAATTGAAATCTGTAGAATATATATGTTCACATCCACATTTTTCATTAATGGTCTTTGTTTCATATTTCGTTAACTCAGAAAAAATAGAATCCATGCTTGGCAGTTCTTTGTGATGATCATTTAAAATGTATTATATTTAAAGATTTATATTGCAAACGAAGAGAGAGATTTCAGTAGCATTCTTTAAAGCCCCGCCCTTTTCATGTTTGGTCAATTGTCAGGCTGCTGGACTTGTACAATGGGACGTGAGTTTTTCTATGACTTTAGAAGACTTTTTAATATATGTGTTTTAAAAGTACAATTTTATTTACATTGGCACTTCCTCTAGTAGAAATGGATGGAGCTGTTGATTAGCTGGTTATACTTCTTTCTTTTACAACCAAAAGATACTGGAACATGCTTGGCAAGCACTCTACTAGAACTCTCAAGCTGTTCTTTTCATTCTGTATGATAGGTTAGCTGTTCCTCCTTGCTACAACTTTTTCCCCAGATATGTCCATTTTGTACCTGGTATTCCTATGTAATATTTACTTTGACATCCCTTGAAATCACTTTTTCAAGAGAGTCCAACTCTCTTTTAGGACCATTCTCTAATACTATACATGTACATTTACAGATTTCATTGTATTTATACATACATGTAAGTAAATACTATATATTTACATAGTTTAGCAGTTTACAAAATTCTAATGCTTTAATTTTTCCAGTAATAGTGTAAAGACGGTACCATAAAAACTTGGGTATTCAGAAGCAGATTTTGTGCTGCTTCATTGGAAAGCTTTTTAAAGCCTAATTTGTAAAAATCATTTAGAAGAGCTTCATTTTATGAATGAGAATAGTGAATTTTTCAAAATTTGTGGTACTGGGAATTGAACTCAGGGTTGCCCTATCACTGAACTACATACATCCCTAATCCTTTTTATTATTTTGTTTTTATAATTTATGTAATTTTTTTAAAATTTTTATTATTGTTCAAAACATTACATAGTTCTTGACATATCATATTTCATACATTTGATTCAAGTGGGTTATGAACTCCCATTTTTACCCCGTATACCCTAATCCTTTTTAAATGTTTTAATTTTGTTTTGTACCAGGGATTGAACCCAGAGGTGCTTAACCATTGAACAACTTCCCTAGCCCCTCTTTATATTTTATCTTGAGACAAGGTCTCTAAGTTGCAAGTTGCTTCACACCTTGCTGAGTTGCTGAGGCTGGCTTTGAAGTTGTGATCCTCCAGCTTCCAAGCCACTGGGATTACAGGCCTGTGCTACCATGCCAGGTAAATATTTTAATTTTTGAGACAGGGTCACAAATTTGTGATCCACATCCTCACTAGTCGCTAGCTAGGGTTATGTTCTTGTGGTGCTGCGCCTGGCTTTTTTTTTTTTTTTTTTTTTTTTTTGGTACTGGGGATTCAACCCAAGATCAGTTAACCACTGAGCCATATCCAGAGCCCTTTTTATGTTTTATTTTGAGACAGGGTATCACTAAGTCCTTAGGGCCTCACTAATTTGCTGAGCTGAGCTTGGTCTTGAACTTGCAGTCCTCTTCTCTCAGCTTCCTGAGTTGCTGGGATTATAGGCATAAGAAATTTCTTTCTTTTTTGAGGGAATTAAATCTAGAGCCTCCAATCATGCTAAGTACATTTAAAAAAAATATGTTTTAGTTATAGATGGACACAATGTCTTTTTTCCTAAATTTTTTTAGTTGTTGATAGACCTATTTATTTATTTATTCATTCATTCATTCATATATACGTGGTACTAAGAATCAAACCCAGTGCCTCACACATGCCAGGTAAGTGCGCTACTGCTGAGCCACAGTCCCAGCCCTGGACACAATATCTTTATTTATTTATTTTTATGTGGTGCTAAGAATTGAATCCCTGTGCCTCCCACTTTCTAGGCAAACACTCCAGCAGTTAGCCACAACCCCAGCCTGCTAAGTACATACTTTACCTTTGAGGTACACCCTCAACCCTTAGCATATTGAATTTATGACTCACTTTCTGAAAAGTGCTAAGGTCTAAGAATTGGAAAATTCAGGTTTTATGCTCATTGAGAGGTGGTCTCCATTTTGGGATCAAGGGTAGGCTCAGTTGTTTTTTTTTTTTTTTTTAATAAAGTTAAGTGTTTGTCTAGATAATTTTAAGCCCAATATTTCTATTTTATTCTTACTTTTTATTCTCAAGGTGTATATATATTGGTAATACACAGATACTTATGTTAACTACCTTAAAATGTTTTATATTTTAGGACTGTGGTTGTGGCTCAATAGTAGAGCGCTTGCCTAGCATGTGTGAGGCACTGGGTTCGATCCTCAGCACCACAAAAAATAAAATGAAGATATTGTGTCCACCTAAAACTAAAATAAGTATTTTTAAAAAATATCTTATATTTTAAACTCAGGTAGGTATGGTAACATATGCTTATGTCTTGGCCTTAGTTTTTTACTAAGCTTTATAAAGGTATAGTTTTGTGGTAAGGTAAGGAATGGCATGGAGAGGTGGAGAGAATGGAGTACCCTCATGCATGACTGATTAGATTTCATAGAGTGGTATATCCCCTTTCTAAAAGAAGCCTGGCAATCTTTTTTTTTTTTTTTTTTTTTAAGAGAGAGGTGAGAGAGAGAGGGAGAGAATTTTTAATATTTATTTTTTAGTTTTCGGCTGACACACATCTTTGTTTGTATGTGGTGCTGAGGCTCGAACCCGGGCTGCACGCATGCCAGGCGAGTGCGCTACCACTTGAGCCACATCCCCAGCCCGAAGTCTGGCAATCTTTTCAAGAGCTTTAGAAATGTTCTTACTCCTTGACCCAGCAATATCTTTCAGGGAATTGTCTAAGGAGATAATCAGAGCTGTGGGCCAAGACTTTTAATCATTTTAATACTCCCTCCCCACAAAAAAAAAACCCAAATAAGGAATATTAAAACATATTTAAAAGGTGGATTATCATGCTTTTGAACAATATATAATGATAGTGGAAGTGTATGTTGATAAATAAAAAAAGTACAGACACATGAGAATAGAAGAAAAAGACCAAAATAATAGTAGTGCCTCACACTTGCTAGGCAAGCACTCTACCACTGAGCTACAACTCTAACCCCTTTCCTAGGTTTTCTGAATATTCTAAAATAAGCACAAATTACTTTTATAATTCAGGAGAGCACAAAAGCATGGATTACCTCACCAATTTCTATGTTGTCTTTTTTTGTGGTAAGATTTAGCATGAGAGCTACCCACATAATAATCTTAAGCACATAGTACAGTGCAATTGCTTCTGAATTTAATGAAGTTATTTCTTGATAAACCCATCTAAATTTAAAATGCATTTAACACATACAACCTACCAAACATCAAAGCTTAGCCCTGTCTACCTTAAGTGTGCTCAGAACACTTACATTAGCCTACAGTTGGACAAAGTCATCTACAAAATTTATTTCATAATAAAGTATTGAATGACTCATAATTTATTGATTACATTCATTACCTTATGGAATATAGTATCTTGTTGTTTACCCTAGTGATCATGTGACTGAGCGCTATGGCTTACTGTTGCTGCCTATCATCACAGGATACTATGGCAGTGCAGATAGATCACTAACCCAGGAAAAGATCAGAATTATATTTTAAGTACAGTTTCTTTTGTTTCATTGTAAAGTCATACAGTTTTAAAGCTGAATTGTGGTAAATTGGGGATGTCTGTCATTTACCACATTAAAAATGTGGTAGAAATCTTTTGTATGTCCTTTGTATAAGACAATTTTCATACCTTTTAGAACAATAAATGCTCTACATTTCTGAATTTAGGATAGGAATTGCCTTTTGGTATATATTTGGTTTATATTTTTATCTTTTAAAATGTCATAGATTATCCATTTTTGTTATTCATGAAAGGCACTACCATTGTCATTACATTGTGGGACCCAAGGTATTAAATGACTATGCCTCCCTCTTAAAACAGTTAACCAAGATTAGGTGTGTGTGTGTTCCTTGCTATAATTACTTATAATTCTGTTCAAACTGTTCTAGAGCAAATTCCCATAATGTGAATGCAAATTTTAAAAATTTATTTATTTACTAGAGCAGCTTGAACAGAATATAAGTAAAGTTGTTAATGGATCTTTATTTTATTTTCTTATTTATATGTGGTGCTGAGAATTGAACCCAGTGCCTCACACATGCTAGGCAAGCGCTCTACCACTGATTTATTTTTATTATATATACATTTCTTTCCTTTTTTTCCAGTACTGGGAATTGAACTGAAGGATGCTTTTTTAGTTTTTATTTTGAGACAGGGTCTCACTAAATTGCCCAGGCTGATCTCAGAATTATGATCCCCTAACCTATCTACCCTGTGTCCCCAGTAGCTGGGATTACAGATATGTACCACTGCACCTAGCTATCAGAAGCTTTAAAGGAAAATTCTTCTCCCTTAGCCCTTAGAACTTTGACTTTATTTATCAGATTAATGTTACTCAAATTTTGTTTTCATCTTGTTTTGCAGTACTGGGGATTGCACCCAGGGCTTTGCATAGGCTAGACTAGTGTTCTGTCACTACATCCCCAGCCCATAGATGTAGGTACTTTTCTAAAGAAAAGTTGAATTGGAAATTTTTGCTAGTAATTACCAAAATTCAGTAGATGCTTGGCTGTACCAACATAGCATTATTTATTACAGCCAACATAAAAATGATTAGATGTAGTTTTCTACTTCATATATTTTGTAGATCAGGTTTACTTAAAATAAGATGTACATATGAATCTATACTGAGCAAAAGGAACTTTCTTCATGCCAATTAAATTTCCATAGTGCATGTTTTTACATATTAAAATGTTAGATGCTATATAAATCTCATTTATCTATATTAATCTATCCACTGAATGCTAGACTTTGATAGTACTTTTTTTTTTT